TTCAGGGGGTTCAAGGGCCAGAGGCTGGCAATTCAAACCCCCGCTGTGCCTCAGGGAAAAGGTGTCAGACAATGCTCATTCTTAGTTTTCATCAGATAGGTGGTTTTAAAAGGTTCTTGGGTGAGAGGATGCATGGAAGTTAAAAAATTGACAAATTACTTTAATCGGAGACTCTATGCCTCAAAACAGATAGTCAGACCGCAGAATATCATTAGCCATCTTTTGCAAGCTTAACCAACTTGACAGCTCTTATCTCTCTTAGAAATCTACTGTGAGGCAAGAGGCTGTGCAGTTGCCATTTTGTCCCTCTCCAGTACACTAAGGCACACCAAGATTGCATTGACGTCTGGTAACTAATCCTCATCATAAAATGAGGTGATTACAGGTGGATAATGGCAAGGGGATTAGCGAGCTGCTTCTTTTTATGACATACTATCTTCTTGGGACCCATTTATCACAAGCTCACACAAGGAGTTCTCTCTGTTATAGGCCTAGAGGCCAACATACTGTGTGGTCCCAATATTGACAGCAGCACAACTCACAGAGCCTCCCAGTCCTCTCCCCAAAAGGAAGCCCCCACTGGTCTGATGTGGCCAAGTATTATAACTTGTAGTTGTCAAGCCACAAGGGCCTGCTGCGAACCCAAAATCTTCCTGTTGGTGATGGGAAACACAATTGCATACAGCCTATCTGTCCTGAGGTCTAGTCATCCCCACTCCCTGACACAAGGCACAGGCCTTCCCGCGATATCTACTAAGCTACAGTCCTGGGCCTGACCTAGGGCAGCTATAAGGGCTGTCCTTCTTTTTGGTGATGCCTATCCTTTTTGGAGACATATAAGAGGATATCCTACCGCCCCCACTCAGATGTTTTCTTTGCCAAAGAGAGAAAGAGGAAGCTTTGAATGGTAAGTATACCTAATCAGCCCTCTGTAAATTTTAAAGTAAAATTGTTCGGCAGGGAAATGTCATTTTGTAAGAAAAGATGCAAACCACACAAACAGGTATTGTTGCAGAATTTTGAATGTTTTCACAGAGCAGAATAACTTCATAATCCCAAGAGTAGCCCACTCCATTTTTCTCACTAACTGACACTTGTCTCAGTCACTGACCCTGAGACGTTTGTAAGAAGAAAGAATACAAGATTTCCTTACTTACGGGTGAACAGATCAAACAGCAAACTGACAAACATGACTGACTGCTCTCAGCAACAGACTTCGACAAACTGCGTCCAACGGACGACTGAGAGAGAAGAAGCTGAAGAGAGAGGCAGGGTTCTCTTTGAAGTCAGAGACAGGGAAGGAGGTATTGGTTAGTGCTGGATAGATTGGCAGTCACCCCCAGCCCAGAAAAACCCCTCCCAGCCAAATCTGCAAAAGGCAGCATGCGAGGTTGCAAAAATAAGATATGGCCTGGCATGTTAATTCTGTATGAATTTCAGATATGAAGTCTTTCACAGGAGTGGACTGTTCAGCATTGTTCAGACCATTCTTTCAAAATAACTGACTGTCAATGAGCTAAATAGTTCAACAAAACCAGGGATTAGTGGTTCAAAATTATACAAAATTGGTATGAAACTTTGGCATAGTTTTAGGAGATGGGGTTTATACTTAACACAGCTCCATCATTCTAGAACAGACTGTGCAGGAAGACAGAATAATAGGTGTCCAGGCAGCTGTCAATTGACTTTAAAACTACAGCAAGGATTCACACCACTGTTCTTTTTTTTTTTTAACCCAACCTCAAATCCTGACAGCACTTTCTAACACTTGCACTTGGGGAAAATGTCTGGAAGGTGATTCCTGATATGTCTGATCAGGTTTTCAGACATTAAACTGAAGATCCGACTGCACTTTCTCTCACCTTTTGGACTGCATGGGGAACGAACTGGTTCACTCCATTTTCTGGCAACTGCATGACATGCAGGCAGCTGCAAACCAGCCTGACCCTTATCCATGCCTACCCATACCCTTTTGGGTCCCTGGCAGGGGCTACTTGTTGTTGTTGTTTTTAAGCAGGGGTAGGATCACTTCATTTTAGTTTGCTTTCCAGCATGTGTAATCGCTGGCATTGAAATGAGGTGGCACTAGTTAGTCTTTTCCCCAACAATTCAATGTTATGTCCAAAAAGGAAAATAGTGCTCAACCTGAGGGGCGAAGAGCAGGTGATGTAGTGGGTGAAATGCAGCACAGAATAGGTAGAGATGTAGTACAGGACTACCTGGCGACTCTAAATGAATTCAAGTCTCCATGGCCAGATGAATTACATCCAAGGATATTAAAAGAACTGGCAGAAGTAATTTCAGAACCATTGGCAATAATATTTGAGAATCCTTGGAGAACAGGAGAAGTCCACAGACTGGAGGAGGGCAAATGTTGTCCCTATCTTCAAAAAGGGGAAAAAAGAAAACCCAAATAATTATCGCCCAGTCAGCCTGACAACAATTCCCAGAAAAATTCTAGAGCAGATCATTAAACACAGTTTGTTATTACTTAGAAAGCAACGCTGTCATTACCAAAAGTCAACACGGGTTTCTTAAAAGCAAGTCATGCCAGACTAATCTGATCTCTTTTTTTGATAGAGTTACAGGCTTGATAGAGGAAAGGAATGCTGTGGATGTAGCATATTTTGATTTCAGTAAGGCCTTTGATAAAGTTCCCCGTGATATCCTTCCAAGGAAGCTAGTAAAATGTGGGCTAGACCAGTGGTTCTTAACCTTGGGTTACTCAGGTGTTTTTGAACTACAGCTCCCAGAAACCCCAGCCAGCACAGCTGGTGGTGAAGGCTTCTGGGAATTGCAGTCCAAAAACACCTGAGTAACCCAAGGTTAAGAACCACTGGGCTAGACAGTGCTATTGTTCGGTGGATTTTTAACCAAACCCAAAGGGTGATCACCAATGGCTTCTCTTCATTCTGGAGAAAGGAAACTAGTGGGGTGCCTCAGGGTTCTGTTCCGGGCTCTGTGCTATTCAACATCTTTATCAATGATTTGGATGAAGGAATAAAGAGTTTTTTTTTTTTTTTAATTATTTTTAATTTTTTAATTAACATATCCATACATAACCATTTCTCTTATCTTTACATAGTCATCATTTTCCTATTTATTTCTACCCCCTTATCCCACCCCCCCCCAAAAAAAGACCATTTAATTTTAAATCTGCAACCATGAGCACACCGAAGCCATGTCCTATGAGGAGCGGCTTAGGGAGCTGAGAATGTTTAGCCTTACAAAAAGAAGGTTAAGAGGGAACATAATAGCCATGCTTACATATTTGAAGGGATGTCATGTTGAGGAAGGGACAGGCTTGTTTTCCACAGCTGCAGACACTAGGAAAAGAGCAATGGTTTCAAGCTACAGGAAAAGAGATTCCACCTGAATCTCAGGAAGAACTTCCTGACAGAGCTGGTTGGCAGTGGAATAGGTTGCCTCGGAGTGTGGTGGAGTCTCCTTCTTTGGAGGTTTTAAAGCAGAGACTGGATGAGCATCTGTCGGGAGTGCTTTGATGGAGTTCCTGCATGGCAGGGGGTTGGACTCGATGGCCCCTCTGGTCTCTTCCAACTCTATGATTCTATGTCATTTGAGTGGCAAGCTAATGAAGTGATATCCCACTTAATTAATGGGAGGGGGAAAATCAGTGTTTAAAGAGGGGGTGACAACAAAAAACAACCAATGGCAATTTCTTTTTCCCCCTTTACAGTGCTGTTTTCATTTGGTGACACACCTATGAAATGATATGCCACTCATTGAAAAATCAATCAATCAATCAATCAATCAATCAATCAATCAATCAATCAATCAATCCAGCTTTCTCCTGCTCCCCATGGAGGGGGGTGCAGAAGGGAAGATGGTCACGGAGGCAAAGGGGGGTCCCTTTTATCTTTTGGGCTCCCCCCTTCTTCTTTACAATCCAGTGCTGTTTCACTCTGGTGGCAAGCCAATGAAGTGATATGTCACTTATCAGTAAATGAAACAAACACAACACAACCTAACAACCAGCCTTCCCATGAATAAATGAAACAAACACAACCTAACAACCAGCCTTCCCATGATCCCTGGAGAGGAGAGGATGTGGAGCATGAAGGCCAAGAGGAAGGAATGCGTTAAAGAGAGTCACTTTGAAGTGTTGGGTGAGACAAGAGAGGATGTGGAGCGTGAAGGCCAAGAGGAAGGAATGGGTTAAAGAGAGTCACTTTGAAGTGTTGGGTAGCTTCCTGTCCCTAAACCATCCAAATCTTGCATGTGGATGCAAGTGTTGTTCTAAATCTCAGACTACATTTTCAAGTGGCTTTGTTTAGCCTGATCCAAACCAAGATAACTTCACAGTCCGGTCACTCCCTGAATCTTTGGGAGCCGCAAAATTATGGCTCATAATACAGGTGACAGATTCAGAGAATGCAGAATACTCCAAAAATCATAAAAAATCATGCTGCCTTTCAACCCCTACAGGTCTTCTCTTGGTCTGCTCATTAGGTGAAGTCAATTACAGTCAAATTAACAGTGTTGCCTAATGGCTGGAAGAAGATTTTATCACAATTTCTCTGATTGGGAGCTTGTCACATTTCTGTGTGACCCCAATCCCTAGCGAAAAAAGGAACCTTGTTTTTCAGTGTAAGACAGGAGAGGGAAGGGAAAGCTGAATACTTAGCAGCTCTTTGTTTGAGAAGTTTGAAAGGGTATCACCTACTCCTGTGTTTGAATTGTATGCAGGCACCACATGACTTTAAACTTTTTGCTAGGATGCAGAAATACCCTACAGTGTACAAACCTGCATATGCTTATTATAGTGGGATACGTAACATGTTAGTGACTATTAGTGGCTTTTAGTGGCTTTTTCTCATGAAAAAGAAGATGGATTTTCTGTACCTTTAATAATTCTATGAAAGAGGAAAGTTCAGCTGGTGCTACTTGGATGAACAAGCCGCACCTGCTGAAATTTTATCTTCTAAGCAGCTATTAAAACTGCAAAAAGCCTGTTTTCTTTTTCATTTGGTCATCTTAAATAACATGGGAGTTGGGAAATCTCCTGTCAAGCCTATTATTAATCTACTTTTGTTATGTGCCATCAAGTCAGAATTGACTTGCAGCCACCCTTGAGAGTTTTCAGGTAAGTGGGGTATTTAAGGACTAGTTTTCCCAGTTCCGCCCCTTAGTAAGTTTCTATGCAAAGCCGGGAAAACTAAGCCAAGTATCTTGAGTCCTAATCTATTACTCTGTCCACGACACCATGTTGGGTCTCCCATTCCTCTGTTACTGAACAAAAATACCCATGGAATCTGGAGTCAACACAGTTTCTGTATTAAAACCTACCCCAATTTCTGGTGGATTCATTGTAATCCTGTGCACACATAGTAAGAGATCTGAGCAAGCCCCTCTGAATTTGGTGGGACTTTGCTTCTGCTTAGCCTGAATAGTGTGAAGAAAGAGAGACGGGTTTCTTTGGCACTTGAGAGAGTCATTGCTTTGTTCTTGTGTGTTTGGGTGCTATATCTACAAAGCAAGCACTCATACTTTTTTTTCTCGTTGTTGAAATTGCATAACCACCCTTCTGCAAGGACATGGAGTGCTTGAGTTTATTTTTTGAATGTTAAGGGAATTGTCTGCTAAGCAAAACCACTTCCTTCTTTGTAGATAACTGAAGTATGTCATGCCAGTGGTAGTCTTGTGCCTCTACACTTGTGGATTTCTTTTTTTTAAATTGTATTTCTTGAATATGGTTGCATCTTTCTCTAGCATTTGTTTATATATATGTAATGCACTGAAGGACAGGCAGCAAACCAGAAAAGGATGAGGCTTAACTGTAGTTCCAGCAGTGGCAGCTCATATTCTGAGCATGAGGTTGTAGCTTGCTCCAAAGTGTGGGAACAGGGACTTCCTTGCTCCAGTTTCAAGCTGACTGTGACTTCAGAAAATGCAGTGCCTGAGTAATTAGGGGAAAGGTCCTGACCCACTGTGGAGATGCAGGTCAAACGATGTGAGTGTATTATTGCTTCACCAGTTGTATTGGCTCTTGCCTTTCCATTGGACCATTTCAGCAATGTGGAGAGGGGGGATCTGCTGCTTGGGTAACAGCCTATACTCCATATTACTTTACCCAGGCTTCATGCTCTGGAGAGGACACTCCTCGATACAGAGCATGTTACCATGGTCTCTCGAGACTGAAGGATGCCTATGCTATGTGTCTGTGTGTCTGTCAATGAACTTCTTAGTGCTTCACTCTCTCTCTGATCACCCTCAATATTTTAAAAAAGAATGGCAAACTTAAGAAACAACTCACCTATTATTTCTGCCAACCAAATTGCTGTATGAAGCCCATTTGAGACTCTTCTCTGGCAGTTTGGAATGGGGTGTGTGTATCATAAAATTATGTTACCAGAAGTGGAATCTTTCATTTGTGTTTCCTGCTTCTCCAAACTGCAGCTGAAAAGAACTTTACAACGTTTTAGGGATATGTGTTTAATATCTGTAACTAACATAATAGACAACTGCCATTTCATAAATTTCTTTCTGTCTCTTGGGGAAGGAGGCAATACAAGGACAAAATACAATGACAAAACATTTGTTTGGGATCCATTACTTTCCATGGAATGCTCTCTGACTGAGATTGCATAAAAACAAACTAGGGCTCCTTCCGTTAACAGTTGAGCAGAAGATTACATTTCAGCTGCACCTGCTGGAATTTGCTTTTCTACGTGCTGTTATGATCCTCTCATTGCCTCTATGTAGAGTTCTGGATTCAGATTGTACTTCAGATACACAAAAGGCTGATGAATGTAATTGTATGGAAATGATGGTACTGTATTTGTACAAGTAGGGGGACCATGTGAAAATTGCACTGCTGGAGTTTTAGAAGATGTAGCCGTGTTAGTCTGTGCAAGCATATCAGGCAAAATCCAAAGAAACAGAACAAGACAAGATGGCACCTTAAAGACTAACTGTTGTGTTTTAATTTGAGTTTTCATGGCCAAAACCATTTCATCAGCTATAAGCAAATGAAAATGATGACGTGGACTTGTCCATGAAAGCTCACATTAAGATATAATAGTCTTTAGTGTGTCACATATTTTTATCTTGTTTTATTTCTTTTGGTTTTGCCTGATATGAACTGCTGGAACTATCTAATGGTGGGTTACAGTATTTTGCCTGATTAACATTAGCAGCTTGCATTAGCTGAGTTCTAACACTGTTGGTGTAGTTTTCACGGGCTGTCTGGCCATGTTCTTGAGGTCTTTCTTCCTAACGTTTTGCCAGTCTCTGTGGCTGGCATCTTCAGAGGACACGAGTCAGAATTCTGTCTCTGGTTTGGTGCAGTTTGTGGGATAGTTACTGGTAATTATTTATAGCTGTGGGATCAGCTTTTTGTCCTTTTCAGGAGATTGGGTGATTATGGTGATCAGCGTGTTTTTTGTTGTGGATGTATTGTTGCGATAAGGGGAGAGATGATCTGTCACTGTGATTGCTGAGTGTCATTAGCTGGTCTTTTGTATGCAGTGATGTTAAGAGCACAGGGCCCAGAACAGAACCCTGAGGCACCCCACTAGTTACCTCTCTCCACGATGAAGAGAAGCTATTGGTGAGCACCCTTTGGGTTCAGTCAGTCAACCAATTAAAATTCCTTGGATGTAACTTTCTGGCCCTGGAAACTTGAATTCATTTAGAGTAGCCAGGTATTCCTGTACTACGTCTCTACCTATTCTGTGGTGAATTTCCCCCACTACATCACCTGCTCTTCGCCCCTCAGATTAAGCACTATTTTCCTTTTTGGACATAGCAGTAGCTGAACATTCCCTGAAACAAGCCGGACATGAAATTCTATTTCAAAAGACAGAAGTACAGGACAACACCAGCAATCATTATGTTAGTCTGCACAGGGAAGCCATTAAAATCCACAAACACCAGCAGAGCTTCAACAAAAAAGAAGAAAGTTTAAAACCCAACAAAGCCTGGCTCCCAGCACTGAAAAATACAGTGTGTAAAAGGTCAACAAACTCTACGCAGCTACAAGGACCGGTGATCACTGCACAAAAAGACCAGCTAACAACACCCATCAATCACAGTGACAGATAATCTACCCCTCTTATTACATCAATACACGCACAACAAAAAACATGCTGATCACTATAATCACCCAAAAAGCTGATCCCACAGCTATAAATACTCAATTATCTCATAAACTGCACCAGAGTATAGACACAGGAGTCAGGAGTTCTGACTCCTTTATTATGAAAATGCCAGCCACAGAGACTGGCAAAACGTTAGGAAGAAAAACCTCAAGAACATGGCCAGACAGCCCAAAAAACCCACAACAACCATTGGATCCCAGCCATGAATGTCTTCAAGAATACATTCTAACACTGTGTTTGTTATGTGAACCACAAAGGTGACTTATCTTTGATTGCTTGGAGTATGAAACTCCTTAAGGCAACTAAGGGTGTGACTACACAGAAATGCTGATTTGGAATGATTTGGCTTTCCTGTGATTTGATTGCTATGCTACAGGCTGCACATTTGAAATTGTATTCAGTGCTCACACAGTGTTGCAGATTGATTCAGAAGTTTACTGTTCATACTGGATGCCATGGGATTCACATTCCGCCCCACAGCCCTCCTTTTTTCCTTCCTTCCTCTGGTCCCATCTCTGCTGACCCTTTTATGGATGTAAATAGGGGAGGATAATAACCCCAGCAATATGATGATCTACTACTAATGTCACATACGTATGTAAGAAACCTGATAAAGTAAATAATTTTAGAGAGCGATTGAGGGAGAGGAAATTTTGTGTGTGTGTGGGGGGGGTTCCCCCTGGTCCTGAACATCACACCCCAACTGTCCATGTCACTGAAACACCACCTACAGACATGTCCCCACCCCATCTTTACAGGAACATATCACAACTAACCACACAAGAAAAAGCCCCCTCAAATTATTTTGCCTTGAAAAAGTTGAAGCCCTGCAGCAGCTGCATGGGGGGTGGGTGGGAAGCTGCTTTGGGAGCAAAACATGGCTGGATAGATTCAAATCAGCCTTTGTGTCAAGTGGTCAGTAACAATTTTTTTCACATTCACTGTTTTTTTAAGCAGAGTCACAGCCTAAACATGGAGTTCATATCCCCTCTTAATAGGCTGTTGCTTTGCCACTGACTTTCCTTTACCGTTGCATTGCAGAATTATTTCCAGCCATGACACTTGTGCTTAGTTTATATTTATTAATCATGTTGCCGTCCCAAGACTGAAGATCTGAAATAATCAAATGGGAGGGTTACTGCTTCTTTTCCCTTTTGATGATGCTTTGCTGGTGGTGACAGAAGTCATGCTGGTTATATACTGGGTTTAAGAGTGAAAGTACATGGGGTGGGAGAATGTGTGTTAGTGGCATCTCAAGATTCATTCCACAGTGTTTTGTTAAATTACTGCAAGCGGACTCTCCCTGTCAAAATATTTTGCTTGTCTACATTGTGAGAAGAATAATAGCGCATATCTCAGCTTCTCCTCTTCCTTACATTACCTCTGGTTATTTTCTATTAAAGTAAGCTTTTGTCACAAAAGATTTCACAGCAAGAATGACTTAAAGCTCCCTTTATGAGTCAGAGGTAGAGACAAAGCATATTTCCATCCTCATAAAGTTTCTCCTCTTCCAGGAGTTCCTAGTTTGTGATTTGATAGGCTGAAGCAACATATACAAAAAAAACCTTGATAATTAGCCTTCATTACTGTTCTGAATTCTGCATGAGTACTACAATGCATCTAACATTTACATTTCTTAAGATTTACATTTCTTTTTCTTTCTTTCTTTTTTGGCCCCTTTATCGATTTTTCAAAAGTCCATGGGTTTAGGTGCGAGCAAAGGAACAAGGTAAAGGGGAAGAGGAAAGGGTGGGAAAAGGATAAAATTCCGGGGGGGGGGAAGCATTCTTACATCCGCTTATACAATTATATTACAATTATATTAAAAAGTAAAATCATACAAAAGAGAATCAATTATAGTAACTAATCTTCCATTCCCTTGGACCATCTCTTTCTTTTTCTTCTTATCTTTAACCTTATTAACTTTAAAAAAAATGTAATACTGCTGGGTTTATTTCCATTGTTCTAATTCCTCGTCATAACC